GTGATGTCATGACGCAGCACCAGTCGGGCTCTGGGCAGTGGAAACACAACTGGTGCTAAAAAGAAGAACCAGTTCGGAACCAGAAGAGCACACGCACAGAGCTAGAACTGGAACTGGTTTGGTGGAAAAGGGGCATATGTGTGTGTGTTAAAGCAAGAGTTCACCTCTATGTTGAGCAGCCATGTCTGCAGGTTGGCCACAGCCTCCTCTCCCAGAGCCAGGTTCCAGATCACTACGTACAGGGCCTTGTCAGTGAAGAAACACTGGGTCACTGTGGACATGCTGGCTGGACCCCCGATGTCCCACACATTGAACGCCACAGAGTCCCTCTGTGTGACACAAGACAAACACTGAGTCTGCAGAATGGGCTGGAGAGTGAATTCATGATGAACTCACCGTCTCACACAGACAGACAGACAGACAGACAGACAGACAACTCTTTCATTTCTCAAATAGAAACAAATGATTTAGGGCAACAGATACAATACAGTTTGATTTGAATCGTTGTGTTCTGGAATCTGTGTAATTACTGTCTGTATTTATGAACTGTGTGTTTCCTCACACTGCTCTTGTCTCCATTGGGGTTGTCCAGCTCCCAGGTGGAGATGGAGATGCTGCATTCTGCGGGGGTGAAGGGGGCCGCCTCGCTGGTCTGTAAAGCCTCCAGAAGGGATGTCTTCCCCTGTCTCGGTGGACCAATCACAAGCATCTTCAGCAGTTTACAAGGGGCAGCCTTCCGAAGGTATGCCCGGAGGAAAGCCAGGACAGACGCAGGACCTGAAACACCAGAGAAGCACTTTGGTTTCGGCATGCTGGAAATGACCAATTACCAAGAAACCATAGACTACTAGGTACTGCAACGCAGTAAAACAACGTTTATTTTTCAAGTACTGTGCATAAATATCATTTCTGGATACTTGTAAGACATTTGAAGAAGCACATGTTATACTGCTGATCAGAAACACATTTCATTTTCACAATTTTACTTTGTATGACTGCTGTCTCTTTGGTTACTCTTGGCGTCCACCAGCGACGTGCAGTCAGGGGAGGCAGAGCCTCACCTGTCATACTCCAATGTAACGGAAAAACAACTAAAGAAAAACTAAATAGTAATAATAATAAAATGTCTCCACTGATCTATGATGTAAGTGTGATTTATGTATGATTCCAATCGCTTTTTAAAGTCAAAATCAGCCAATTTGCCGGGCTCCGCTACAACTACGGGTAGCGATGAGAAGTGAGGCAGGGACGAGCTCTGCCTCTCGTAAGCCCACAGTAACTTGCTGGAGCACGGGCACTAATTTAGCGCGGGCACTTATTTTGTGTCCGCGCTCAAGCCAGTTACTTTGGGGTGAGGTGAGGCACAGATGAGCTCTGCCTCACCTCAGAATGTGTCACACCACAGAAACTGGCTGGAAAGCGGGCACTAAGCGCATGCCTGTTACCATCTCACTGTAGGTCACCAATGTAATGTTTGTAGATCCCTTTATTACATTTATCCTCGCCATCCATAGTCTCTGAATAACTTATTTAACGTATATGATATTTAGGCTCGCTGGTCTCCTCATATAACGGCAATGAAAAAAGCAGCAGGAGAGGCAGAGGTACGTGAGCCCACAGGTTCTTGTTGCTACTGTTATTCCACGCAGAGACGGATAGACACAAACAACAAACTAGACTTTTGAAACTACAGGAAGATAAGGAGGACTTTTACAAAAAACTAATAGAGATTGTTGTCCAGAAGGAGAGCATGGACTTAATCTTCAAGTCAAGGTAAGACCACAATAGTAATGAAAATAGGATCTTACTAAGAAAGAACAATCCAATATTTAGATTTTGGGTATCCTTTTGTTGAACGGTCTGTTTAAAATGAATCGAAGCATCAGACTAAAAAAGCTTTTGAAAATAACCGAATATTTTGATTAAGGTCAAAATATAATATTTGTAAATCTGACTCTGAAAGAGTCAGTGCCTCACCATCCATGAACCTCACCGTACGTCACTGGCGTCCACTATGGACCTCGTAGTAATAAAAACGACTTTCTGGACGTAGGAGAAGCCAGGCATTAGTTATATGTTATTGAATTATGTAGGTTACTGAAAGGAAAACCTTTTTCGGAGACTGTAAATTGTAGTTTTTTTGTAGGAAATGTTCATCTTAAACCAAAGGTGACATGTGAAATCTAAAACAGGTTTTGCTTGCTGTTATCATCCCAGCCATTAACAGGTCCTTTTCTACCTGGCTTCCAATGTGAGTGGTGGGGAACATAATGCACTGTGGGGCTTCAGCAGTCCTTCAAGCCTTCTGCACATTCAACAGTCAAGTGAGGGTGTCATTAAAGACAGTTGGACAGTACCTTCTTTTCTGACGTCCTGGGGGACATTAGTAATGTTGAGGTCTTCCGTGTCCAGCTGCCACAGGTTGGACAGTTGACTGAGCTCTGCAGGAAGCTCCCGGATTCTTGGATTACTGTTCAGAGGAAAAACATGGGTCAATACTTCACATGACAGCTACCTACCATCCAAAGGACTTCAGTTGCGTTATTATTCCTGCTTTAAGTAAATTGGATTATTTAGAAATCACAGACTTCCGTTAAGCCCACAACAACAGTCAAAGAAAAGATTGAAATGTTGCCAAATTATGCTGTGGTTCATAACTTCCAACTTCAATCATTGTGGCTCCTGCAAACAGCTGGAGCAGGAGGACTGGCCTCAGACCAGCAGGGGTCCCGGAGACTAGGGCTGCACGATATTGAAAAAAACTGACATCGCACATTTTTTCCCCCCTGCGATATATATTGCGTTTTTTTAAACTATATTTAACTGGATGAAGGTATTGTCCTCCTGTGCCTCGCTCATTTTTTACCGGTGTTTTGATGGTCTGCAAACTAGAGGGGCGGGGCCTGCTGTGATCTGATCAAGAATGATTGTGATTGGTGGTTTGCTGTGCATGCAGAGCCTGCATGTCACTCACTCAAGTACCCCTGACATGAGAGCCGCGCAAGTTTTCCTTTTGTAGCAAGCTCACGGTGAACGCGTACTGCACGTGCTATATAAGTGTGCGGTCGGGACGATAACAATCAAGTATAAAAATAAAATTTAAGATTTGTGAAATCGTGTCTTAAGGTTTTATTTCTATGGGAATAATGATAGCTTTGACGTGTATGTTATATGAGGGCTAATTTCGACTCTGAGGTGTCTAATAAATTCCAGATATGGCATATAGTGATTCGTAGGCTAAGGCGCTGTGCGCCCTTGCTGTTTGTGTCTGTAGGGTTGTGCGAAAATGCCCGCTAGCCAAGTGGCACTCGGACAGTTTAGACTAGTTTTCTGGCCACAAGTATTACCGTAATTTTGGCTCTTTTTAGGCGCCGACGTGCCAAACTAGGTACTCTAATTATTACATGACACGAAACTTTCCGTTAACAACATACTTAGGTATTAAGTAAAAATACATTTCTTAGCCCTCGTGTTTTCAATCCGACCGATTACCATCGTGGTCTAACATCCGTCGAAGGTCAGAAAACCCGATGTCGCGTGACGGTGGAATATCTCTCGGCGTCACTGCGCAGAATTTGGGCCTCATTTGAAGAACCCAAAGGAAGCAGTTTTTGGTTACGTTTAAGAGGTATCCTAAAAACCTCTTTTATCGAGTTTATGCCAGACACCAACTCGTGTGTACACTTCTCTCCCTCAGTACAAAAGACAAGTCGGCCTATTAGAGGTGTCAGTTGGATGTGAATATCTAAAAAATTAGTAATTAGATGGCCCCGTTTAAGATCCCGCAGCGTCTTCATTACAATGACGACTCATTTAGCCTTATGTTCGGTGCATGTCAGTCCGTCCCCCGA